GACAAGTCAACACAGCGCGACAAGTTACCTTCAGCGAAAGTATCACATTTTCCAATTCTGTGTTGGTTTTGTATTTGGAAACTGTTACGCTGAAATCTTTTTTCGAATAAATCTTCAAGATATGAATGAGTAAGGGAGGTAGTGAAGGAAGGAATAAATTGCATCTCGGAAAGATCAGATTATCAGGAGTGTTGCATATTATCTGAAGAAAACGAAAAACATTTAATTTTTTTAAAACCATGACATTTTTTGAAAGGGAATTTTTGAGGCTAACAGCGTTTGATTTGTTTGGAGATATCATCTGTTGCACTGAGAACAATAAAGCAGTCAAATCGATGCAGGTACAACGCAAGTAAGCAGCGCGGAGCCAACGATTGTCGAAGCTCAGCTTCCTGGAATAAAGAGAGAACCAAGACAACGACAAAATAATTATCCATTGCTTTATGTTTCTGCTTCTGGTACCATATCCGTCGTACTCGAAAAGGATCTTATCGTTGAGGTCTGCTAGTTTTCCTGCACTTTATAATTTTCACTATAAGTTGTAGCTAATGCGTAGAAAAGGTATGGAAGAAGTGCGCTTTTTTTCAGTTTGCTTTCTAGAAACATTTTTATTTTATTTACTCAAATTCGTATATTTTGAATTCGTGAATGGCATATAATACGTTGGGCTCCACATGGGTTATCGTGAAAATCCTCCAAGGCAGTAACTGTTATGTGGCGCTGTAGTTTTTTCCTTTTACATTTTTCTACATTTAACTGGAACTCACATTACTATTGCCAGAATTTTTAAAAAAGAATGATTAGAAATCATGCAGAATTTGGCAAAGAAGTACTAAACTGCGTTCGTCTGTGATAAAACTGATCTCAAAAGGCACTAGGTTCTGGAAGTGAACTAACCAAAAAGCATGACAAAAAAAAAAAATTGGAGAAGACATCTCTTATGAACTCTGAAGTGTGCAATTTTACGAGGTTGCCAACACAACTGGATGTAGATCAATGTCTTTAGGGCTACCTGATGTGCACTTAAAATTTGAATTAGCTGTGCTACGCTTTCTGAACTAAGATCCATGCTCAGTCACGGATAACTGCATGAAAAACGCACCACTTTCAGTCTTTACTTCTTTTTCTAGCGTACATTTTAAATATTACATTTCAGATGTCAGTCGATCGAGCTATACGTGTATCGTGCGTTGGCAAATTTGCAGTAAGTTCATCCAGATTCACTGCTAAACGATCTTTTGGGAAAATAATAGAGCGCCCCAGTGGCACTAATTTTAGGCGGCTTGTAACGAAAACGGCACCGCTGCTTCTCTGCTACACAAGAAAGCACGTATTCTTCATAACAATGAAAAAATCTTCTGCAATTTCGGACACCCAAGTAAGTTCCTTTTCGTTAATTATTCATCATCCCAGGATGGAAGAAGGGGAGGTAGGTACGGATGTGGAGAACGACAGGGAAAAATGAGATTCAAATCCCTCAGCACTTTGTGGATTGTAAAAAGAATATCAGTGCGATGCCAAAAAAAGTACTGTTGTCCTTTTCTGTATTCACAGAGTAAAAATGAACAAAAGAATTTGAGAAGAATTCAACAGCACTAAATACAGCTCTATATTGTATAAAATTTTTAAATGGGTACTGGGAAGGATAGGAAAAAGTGGTGAACGGGGGAGCGGTAGGGAACGGGAATGACGCAAAATAAGGGAGAAAATAATTGGCCAACGCACGGGCTGTCCGTGCGATGATGCGTTTTTTGCATAGTTCCTCGCAGTTTTTGTTGCTACCCGCATCGGTTTCTTCGGCAGATCTGGCTAAACAAATTAAAACTAGCCGCCAAAACTGGTAGGAAACACCCCCTAAAATTTTAACTTTCTAGCTTTCCTGGCTACTGAGTTAACAATTTACTGGAAAAAATATTTCACGAGCCCGCACTCAGGTACCACGCATACCCGATGTCTGGGTTTGAGCTCGTTGAAACTTACTT